CTCTCCTCTCTTTCCTCCCTCCTCACTCTCTCTGAAAAGCAATGGAAAAATTCCTTCACGTGAGGACCAACAAACAAAGGCGATCACCTTGTTTGGTGATGAGTCATTAGATATAACTCAAAAGCACAGCCCAAGAAAGGAAAACACTGATGTAATCTATTAAAGTAAAAAACTTCTGCTCTTCAAAAGATAAGCCACAGACTGTGAGCAAATATTTGCAAAACGCATATCTGAAGGACTGATATCCAAAATATATTAAGTACTCTCTTAAAACTCAATCAGAAAACAAACAATATATAAAATAACAATACAAAAATGGCCAAGGAATATATAAAATGCTTAACATCATATAACATTAGGGAACTACAATCAGTGAGATACCACTACACACCTATTAAAATGGATAAACTACCAACCAAGGACAACACTGAATGTTGGTAAAATGTAAGCCCAGAAACAACTTACTGCTGGTGGGAATGCAAAATAGGACTGTCACTTTGGAAGGCAGTTTCTTTTAACACAGTTCAGTTTTTACCCAACTGACTTGAAAATTTATTTCCACAGAAGAACTGCATGCAAATGTTTATAACAGCTTTATTCGTAAAAGTTACTACCTGGAAGCAATAGGTCCTTTAATAGGGAAATGAATAAACAAACGGTTGCAGTGTCTCACAGAAGAATACCACTAAGCAGTAAAATGAAATGATTATAATACCTAAAAAAAAGTTTGAATCTCAGGTTATGCTGAGCATAAAAGCCAGACACAAGTGATATGGATGGTATAAGGTCATTTACATGAAGTTCAAGGACAGACAAACCCATGACAGATCAGTGTTACCCTTGGGGGGGGGGGGGCGCAGAGGCGTGCTGACTACAAAGGCATGTTCTGGAGTCTGGAGAGGTCATGGGTCTTCATGCAGGTGTTGACTATGGGCACACATATTTGTCAAAATGCATGAAATTGTACATTAAGACAGGTGTTCAGTCCATGCAGTATCACACTACAATAAAGCCGGTTAAAACAATGTCTAGATCCTGGCTTTTGGAGGGACATGGGTTGTGATTGGGTGGAGAAGTGTCAGGGCTGCGAAAAGACCTGTGGTCACCTGGGCTCAGACTTGTCACAGATCTGGCAGCCGTTGTTCAGCGGTCCCGCAGGCTGATGCAGGGAAACCCAGCTGGGCTGCCAGCCCCTGGCCTCCAGCACGGCCTCCAGCACGGCCTCCTGCTCGCTGGGAGTTGACCCTCAGAAAGCAGTTCCTAGGATAGAATTTGACCAATAGCACTTGGTCTTCCCTGTCCAATGGAGCTGTACAGCTATATCCCTATTTGCACCTTCACCATCCAATCAGAGCAGTTCCATTCCTACCCATCAGCAGTGCTATTTGGGTTAATCAAGCTGTGGAGACTTGGAGCCCTCATTTGCATAGAAGTGGACCAATCAGGGACAGGGACAAGCACTCTGTGCTTCACCTGGGCCTCCACAGAGCATTCCTCCAGTTCTGGCTGACCTGGTCACCCCCCAGGGTGCTGGAGCTGTCCCTCCCAGCGTGGGCCCAGCTGGCTCACTGGAGCTAAACTGTGACCCTCCCCCCGGGGGCCTGAGCTGCCACAGCCCTGCTGCTGAGCAGTGTGCTGTCCAGTTAAACCACTGGAGTCTCCCACACCCTAAACTGGGGACCTCAGCACTGACCGGCCACGTGGCTTTCCAGAGGCCACAACCCCGCGATGCTTAATGACATGTTATCACATCGGTGGTCTTCATAGCACCACAGAAATGTTAGAAGATGCAAAGACAATTTTTCAATTCGAACCCGATGCCTTAGAACCCAGCTCAGTGGACGTTGCAATTTTGAAAGTTCCGTTTATATGAAAAAATTGGGGACAATATAGACCTTGCTGCTGCTAAAGCTTAAACATTTAGCCCCGCCAGTGTGGCTCAGAGGTTGAGCATTGAGCTATGAGCCAGGAGGTCATGGCTCAATTCAGTCAGGGCACATTCCCAGGCTTGTGGGCTCAAACCCCAACAGGGGGTGTGCAGGAGGCAGCTGATCAATGATTCTCATTATTGATGTTTCAATCTCTCTCTCTCTCTGAAATCAATTAAAAAATCTGTATAAAAAGTTAAATATTTGGAGGAACGAAGATAGCAGCATAGGTAATCTGCTGCCGTGCACAACAATTTCAAATATACAACTATAAAATAAAACGTCTATCACCCTAAACCCAAGGGAAATCGGGCTGAAAGGAAGCCCCACAACTAGGCTGAAAGAAAAAGAGAATTCAGGGCACAGCGCTGAAAAACTGAGGTAGGAGGGCGCAGATGCGATACGGGCTGGCAGCAGATCCAGGCTGGCAGAGGGCGTTGCTTTCTTCAACCCGAAGAGAGACAAGCTCCCGATCTCTCTGAAATCCAGTTTCTGGGGAGAGGCTAGACTGTCTGCCATCGGGTCCAAAAGTGAGGGTGGCTTGCTTGCAGAGCTGCACACAGGAATTTTTGTTTGCTGTGCTGGGGCGCAAGACACGGGGAGATGTGGGGCCGCAGGGACTCGGATCTGAGAGGTGGCTGACAGGCAGCCATTGCTGTTGGCCACACCCCAGCCTAGTGACACCATGAGACTCCACCTTGAGACCCCGCCTTCACAACACACCAAGCTCCAAGCAGCAGCTTTTGCATATGAATGGCCCTCTCAGTTGCAGTTTAACCTAGCAAAGGAGGACAGGACTGTGGTTCATGCAGTAGCTCCTGCAGGGTGCAGTAGCTGAACTGAACCCATTGGAGATCCAGAAGCCAGTGTTCTTAGTGGTCAGTTTCAACCCCTCACACCCATAAGTGACACATTCGGGAGACAGACTCAGTGAGCACCATAGCCCCACTGAAACAAAGCGTGTCTCCAGTGCAGCAGTTTTTCCTTTATACACAGTGGGTCCTCACAGACAACTGGCCTGGAGTCAGTTCCTCCCAGTATACCAACAGCAATCAAGGCTTAATTATACCAAGACTGTGCACTCAGCCCACAAAGGGATATAGCAAAAGTGACTACCTCAGGTGATCTGAGCTACTGGACCCTATAGGTCACCTACCAAACAAAGCCACTCCATCAGCCAAAATGAGGAGACACAGAAACATGTCACGAATGGGAGAGATTGAGGAGAATAAACTAATGGATGACACACAGTTCACAATCACATTTATAAGATTACTCAAGAATCTTCTAAAAACCTTTGAGAAACTTGATGAGACCTCCAAGGACCTTAAAGAGAATACCAAAAAAATGGAAAGAGGCCAGTCAAAAATGAAACATACAATCTCTGAAATAAAGAATATACAGAAACTCAACTATGGATAAACATGCCCCAAGAATCAAACCAAAGATCTGGAATATAAGGAAGAAAAAAATCAACCAACCAGAGAGGCAAAAAGAAAGAAGAATCCAAAATGTGAGTGTGAGGATAGCATAAGGAGCCTCCGGGACAGCTTAAAGCGTACCAACATCTGAATTTCTGGGGTGCCAGAGGAAAGCGAGCAGGATATTGAAGGCCTTTTGGAAGAAATAATGACAGAAAACTTTCCCTACCTGGTGAAAGAAACAGACCTACAAGTTCAGGAAGTGCACAGAACCCCAATAAGAGGAATCCAAAGAGGACCACACCAAGACACATCATAATTAAAATGCCAAGGACAAAAGATAAAGAGAGAATCTTACAAGCAGCAAGAGAAAAACAGCTAGTTACCTACCAAGGAATACCCATATGACTGTTAGCTGATTTCTCAACAGAAAGTATGCAGGCCAGAAGGGAATGGCAAGAAATATTCAAAACGATGAACAACAAGAACCTACAACCAAGATTACTCTACCCAGTAAAGCTATCATTCAGAATTGAAGGTCAGGTAAAGAGCTTCACAGACAAGAAAAAGTTAAAGGAGTTCTCAACACCAAACCAGAATTACATGAAATGTTGAAGGGTATTCTTTAAGAAGAGGAAGAAGAAGAAAAAGGTAAAGGTAAAAATTATGAACAAAAAGACATCAAATAGATACCTACCAACAAGCGAACCTAAAAATCAAGTGAATAAAAAATCTGAAGAACAAAATGGACCGGTGAATACAACAGAATCAGGGACATAGAAAGGGAGTGGACTGACAATTTTCAGGGGGAAGGGGGCCTGAGGGGTGCAGGAAGAAAGTGGACAAGAATATTACACCTGTGGATGAAGACAGTGGCGGGGGTAAGGGCATGGGGTGGGGTTGGGAATCAGGTGGAGGGGAGTGATTGGGGGAGGGGGAAGAGGAACACCTGTAATAATCTGAACAATAAAGACTTATAAAAAAATAAATAAAAGTAAAATGAAAAGAAAGTTAAATGTTTTATAATACTTTAAAAACTTGTTTAACAAACTTGAATATTATTTAAATGATATTTCTCTTCTTCAAAAAGATATTCAGGCAAAATTATCTTTTGTAAAAAAATTCATGTCTTGCTTATTTATTTTATATTTTTAAGGCTATTCGTCTGCGTATTTTGCATAATGATAATATGAAGTATAAGGGTTTTAAGTCATACTATTAAAATCAGCTAAGAAAAAAAAAAAGGTTGCATGAAGTCCTAGCTGGTTTGGCTCAGCTGTTAGAGTAACGGCTCTCAGGTCAAAAGGTCGTGGGTTCGATTCTTGGTCAACGGCATTTAGGTCTGTTTCCGGCTTTATCCCTGGCCCAGGTCAGGGTGCATGTGGAAGGTAACCAATAGATGTCTCTCATAGATGTTTCTCTCCCTCTCCCTTCCACTTCCTCGGCAGTCAGCAGGGAAATGGCCTCGGGTGAGGGGGACAGGAAGCGCGTGCCCCACAGAGCAGAACGCGCAGAGGGCTTTACTCCAACGACCAGCGGTGGCGGCGGCGGCGGCAGCAGCAGCGTGCCTTTCCCTGTGACGGGGACCCAGCTGTGGGACAGCCCGAGGAAGGAATGCTCGCTGATCAGCAATAAAAAGCAATAAACAATGTCACCTCAATAAACTTCAAATAAAGCTATGAACTCTTGAAACTAGCAACATGAATATAACTCAGTATAAATTTCCATTACCCTGTGTAAAAAAGTCAGACTCCCTCCCATAAAAAATAACACTGGTGATCCCATTCCTACATCCTAGAAAACGCACCTAGGGGCAGAGCACAGGAGCTGGAACTGGGGAGGCAGGTGAGGGCAGGAGGTCACAGGTGAAGGAAACGTTTACCATTCTGCTTTGGCTTCCGTGGGTGCAAACAAACGTCAAGCCCAAGTGCAGCCTTCGGGGTGTTAGTTCACTGTATGCAGCTGGTGCTCCGCAAACAGCTCACCAAGTCTGTGCCTGGCCAGTGCACCGCTCTCCCTCCTGCTGCTCGCCCCAAGGAGAAGGCCGGCGGCACTGGCTCTGCCTGCGCGGACCCCTGCGGCGGGCTCCTGGGCCAGGGCAGGGAGTCTTGTTTAATGAAGGTGCTAATCCTCGGGGACACACACAGGCTTTGAAGCAGCGTCCCAATACCTGAGTCTGCCGGCCACGGCCACGTGCACGAGGACAGGGCGCGGGCAGCACCAGCGCCGTCCCCGGCGGCGTTTCCCAGGGCTCAGCCCGGGCGCCCGGGGAGCGCGCCGGCTCCAGGACGTCCGCTTCCCACGGTCGGTCATCAGGTCTGCGTCTGAACCAGAAGCCAGAAGCCTCTCCTCCAGCCCTTCCCGGGCAGGGAGCACGCCCCGAGCGAGGCCTGGTCTCTTGGGCGGGCAGACTCAGTGTGCGGGACCGGGCTGAGGAGCAGGCCCCGCGGTGGCCCGGCGGAGGGACAGGCTGCTGGGGCCGGCGGCCCGGGAGCAGGTAACTGTGCCGACCACAGACCCCTGCGCCTCCGAGGTCCTCACTCCGACCCCGAGGACCGCACCCGCCCAGCCTCGCTCCCAAGGGCCAGGCGAGACACGCCGGCGGTCAGCGTGCCAGCGCGCTGGGCCAGCACGGACTCTGACACCACACGATGCTCGTGTACAAACCTCGCGGAGTCTTTATTGTCCTGGGAGGTGCGCACAGGCTGACGCTCCCCCGGCCGCAGCAGACAACGGCGAGCCACTCCACAGCGGGCCTCTGCAAACCCCATGGACACACGCAGGACAGACACAGGGCAGCTTCACTTTGAAATGTTCTTACAAATGACAGTAACTGATAGTCCGGGGGTGCCGTGGCCAGCGGAGGCGGCAGGAAGGGCCGGGGCCTCGTGCGGCGGACAGCGGTGCGGCGGCTGCGGCTGGGCCTCCGGCCGGGCCGAGCACGGCGGCAGCCGCGAGTTTAACAGGCACACACCAGACAGCGGCTCCGGGTAGCCCGATGCCAGCCTCCGCCTTCACTGGGCTACGGAGCTTCCTCCTCTCAGCCCCACCTCCCGCCCGCCTGCCCCATCCTCAGCTCCTCCTCCACGTCTGCTCCTCTGGAGCTAGACCTTCTCCTTCCGCTTCAGCTTGGACACCTTCTTGACAGTCCCATTCTTGTTGAGAAGCTTCAGGACACGGTCCTTATGGTCCAGAACCTTGAGCATGGAGTCCCTGGCCTCGCTGATCTGGTCCATCACCAGCTTACACCGCTGCATGTTCCCCTGGAACAAGACAGCCATCAGCCAGCTCGGGGCACGCGTGCTTTCACACCCAAGACGTTTCAGCCTTAGGGGCAATGCAGGCTGACGTGCAAGCTCTGGTAAACCCGAGCAGGTGAAGGGGAGAAAGGGAGAACCCCACAGGGAGGGAGGGGGGTTAGGAGGGGGAGGGGGGAGGGAGGGGGACAGGAAAGGGAGGGGGGAGGGGAGGGGAGGGGAGGGGAGGGGGGAGGGAAGGGGAAGGGAGAGGAGGGAAGGGGAGGGTGGAGGGGAAGGAAGGAAAGGGGAGGGGAGGTGAGGGGAGGGAAGGGGAAAGGGGAGGCGAGGGGGGAGGGAAGGGGAGGGGAGGGGGCAGGGGAGGGGAGAGAAGGGGGGAGGGGAGGTTAGAGGGGAGGGGAGGGAAGAGGAAGGGGAGGGGAGGGTGGAGGGGAGGGGAGGGAAGGGAGGAGGGGGAGGGGAGGGAAGGGAAGGGGAGGGGAGGGTGGAGGGGAGGGTGGAGGGGAGGGAAGGGAAGGGGAGGGGAGGGTGGAGGGGAGGGAGGGAAGGGGAGGGGAGGGTGGAGGGGAGGGTGGAGGGGAGGGAAGGGAAGGGGAGGGAAGGGTAGAGGGGAGGGAAGGGGAGGTTGGAGGGGAGGGAAGAGGAAGGGGAGGGTGGAGGGGAGGGGAAGGGAGGGGAGGGGACCGGGGAGGGAAGGGGAGGGAAGGGGGGAGGGGAGGGGGGAGGGGAGGTTGGAGGGGAGGGGAGGGAAGGAGAGGGTGAAGGGGAGGGGAGGGTGGAGGGGAGGAAAGGGAAGGGGAAGGGAGGGTAGAGGGGAGGGAAGGGTAGGGTGGAGGGGAGGGAAGGGGAGGGTGGAGGGGAGGGGAGGGAAGGGGAAAGGGGAGGGGAGGGGGGAAGGAAGGGGAGGGGAGGGTGGAGGGGAGGGGAGGGTGGAGGGGAGGATAGGGGAGGGGGAGAAAGGGGAGGCGGCCCACCTGGATGAGCTCGCTGATGCGGTGCAGGTCGTCGTCAGTGGCTGCTTTCTTCTTGGGGAGGATCCCCTCCTGGAGGGTGGTGAGTCTCTCGTAGACGTCATGTTCTAGATTTGTCTGCAACACACAGGCGGAGGCGGGGCCTCAGAAACGCTTCCTTTGGTGCAGTGCCAGGCTGCCTTCTATTTTATTTTATTTTATTTTATTTTATTTATTTTATTTTATTTTATTTTATTTTATTTTATTTTTTCAGGCCGCCTTTTAAACTGCGCGAGGGCCGTCTGGGCGGGGAAATCCTTTCTCAAAGTGGCCGAAGTGGTCAGGAACACTTACAATACAGCCTGCTGTGATTCAGATCCATATTCAAGGGTAACCGTTTTTGGTTAATCCTCACCCAGGGATATTTTTCCGGCCGATTTTTTTAGAGTATGGAAGGGAGGAGAGACTGAGAGAAACATTGATGTGAGAGAGACACATCGACTGGTTGCTTCTGCACAGGAATCAAGCCTGCAACAGAGGTATGTGCCCTTGACCTAAATCGAACCCAGGACCCTTCAGTCCATACATAGGCTCACACTTTACCCACTGAAACAAACTGGCTAGGTTAAGGATAACTTGAAAAATGTATTTCTATTGATTTCAGAGAAGGAAGAGGGAGAGAGAAAAGCATCAATGAGAGAGAATCATTGACCGGCTGCCTCTTGCACGCCCCCCACTGGGGATCGAGCCCAAACCCGGGCCGGTGCCCTGACTGGCAATCGAACTGTGACCCCTGGTGGGTAGGTCAGGAGGGCAGCACGTGCCTCTGGGACAAGTCCATGCGGCGCACACACGTGCTTCTGTGAGGACAGGACTGGCTCGCTCCCCGCCCCCAACTTATACCCAAACCACGCTGTCGGGCCCGTTCCTCCAGCGATGGAGACTTCTGCTTCCCGGTGCCCTCCCTCGCGGTGACGGGGAGACCCGCCCCAGGACTCTGGACACGGCTGAACCGAGACCGTCCCCGACTATGGACACGTGGGGTCACACTCCACCTTGGGCCCGGGCCAGGAGGCCGGCTCTGTAGGGTCAGAGGGCGCGGACCCAGCGCCTCCGGAGCAGCAAGCTGGCCCAGCCCCCAGCAAACAGTGGGGCCATGCTGGAGCCAGGGAGCAGAGCGGGGAGGGCGCACAGTGGCGTCTGAGGCCTATTTCATGTCACCGCGCTGAGCTGTGCTGCGGGCTCACACCGAGTGCGCCTGGGCTTTGGTTCAGCGGGCCAGAGTAAGGTATGTTAGATCGGTTACACCTGTGAGGCAGACACGGGAAAAGCACCCCAAAAACCCCAAGCCATGGCGACTGGGTGGTGGCATCGCCCAGGAGAACGCCGCCCGCCTCGGAAGGCCCACCCCCACCTACCAGCTGTAGCAACTGGGCAGCACAGAGGTGGACTTTCCAGCCCTGGGCCCGGCAGGACACCCCCTTCTGGCTGGCGATTTCCTGCAGCATGGCTTTCTTCTCCTCTGGAACGGAAAACAGAAAGCGCACTCAGTGTTCAGGAAGCTAAAATCCTTATTGCTCACGTTATTCAAATGCTACTATTTTATCAAGAATTTCCAAAGGACTAGTATGCATGCAATGAGCATGACCGAGGACAGACACTGGGCGGTGGGGCTTGCCCTCGGGGGTGGGAGGGCTGGGGGATCAATCGGGGAGAAAAAGGAGACATTAAGTAAAACTTTAGACCATAAGAAACAAAAGGATCCCAAACTGGTTTGGCTCAGAGGTCAGAGCATTAGCCTTTGGGCTGAGGGATCCGAGTTGTGATTCTGGGCAAGGGCATGTACGTTGGTTGCGGGCACAACCCCAATAGGAGGTATGCAGGAGGCAGCTGATCAATGTTTCTCTCATCGATGTTACTCTATCTCTCTCCCTTCCTCTCTGTAAAAACCAACAAAAAATATTAAAACACAGATACACAAAAACACACAAAAGGATTTCTTTACTTAAATGTCTTTAAGTCTTTTCGTTTAAGCTATAAGGCACAGAAGTCACAACATGAATAAGGCTCTTTGTCCATCACTAAGAATGCTTGACAGACAGGCTCTGCTGATGGAGTGAGCGCCAAAGACACAAGTGATTATTCTCCTCTCTTAAAAGAGGGAGCCGGTCCTCCGGGGGCGTGACGGTCCTCCGGGGGCGTGACGCTAGCAAGCAGGTGGGAGTTGGGCGAGATGTCCTCAGAGGCGCCACAGCGCCACCAGGTCTCAGAGAAATCACGAATCAAATCTGTGTGACACTCCCGTTTGGGTAGAGAAGTCCAGGAATCAGAATTGTGTAGTACAACACAATTGTGTAGTATTTTTTTAAAATTTAAGAATTCTTAAACAACCCCCACCCCCCATGTATTTGTCAAAACCCAATGAGTGCACACCCCGCCCCGAGCCCCAGGCCCACAGGGAGGCGTCCCGGTGACAAGCCGCCCGCAGCAGGCGGCGCGGGGGCGGGGGCAACCTTGGCACTTTAATTTTGTTGTGAACCCAAACTTCTCTAAGAAGTTTGTCAATTAAAACACCCCAAACCCTGTTTGGCAGGCAAACATCAGCATGAACGCTCCTGAGCGGTGCTTGAGCCTTGGAGGTATTGGTAGGCGATCGGTCTCCCGCAGAACACTGCTGCCCGCACCTCGGGCCCACGGGAAGCGCTGGAAAGCACGGGTGTGTGAAATAGAGATTCACAGGAGATGGCAAAGATAGCAGAGGTATGTTTGATACGGGACCTTTACCTCGCACACATGAAGAATTACAACTCAGTAATAAAATGGCAAACCAATTAAAAAGGGCAAGACCTCCAAAGGACACCTCTCCGGGGAGCCTCTGGGGGGGAAGCCTCTGGGGGGGGGAGCCTCTCTGGGGGGGGGCCTCTCTGGGGGGGAGCCTCTCCGGGGGGGGGGAGCCTCTCTGGGGGGGGGCCTCTCTGGGGGGAGCCTCTCTGGGGGGGAGCCTCTCTGGGGGGGGAGCTTCTGCGGGGGGGTGAGCCTCTCTGGGGGGTGAGCCTCTCTGGGGGGGGCCTCTGGGGGGTGAGCCTCTCTGGGGGGAGCCTCTCTGGGGGGTGAGCCTCTCTGGGGGGGAGCCTCTCTGGGGGGGGGTGAGCCTCTCTGGGGGGGAGCCTCTCTGGGGGTGAGCCTCTCTGGGGGGGGCCTCTGGGGGGGGTGAGCCTCTCTGGGGGGGGAGCCTCTCCGGGGGGGGCCTCTCCGGGGGTGAGCCTCTCTGGGGGGGGAGCCTCTCCGGGGGGGAGCCTCTCTGGGGGGGTGAGCCTCTCTGGGGGGGGAGCCTCTCCGGGGGGGCCTCTCGGGGGGGGGAGCCTCTCTGGGGGGGGCCCTCTCGGGGGGGGAGCCTCTCCGGGGGGGTGAGCCTCTCTGGGGGGGAGCCTCTCCGGGGGGGGTGGGAGCCTCTCTGGGGGGGGAGCCTCTCTGGGGGGGGCCTCTCGGGGGGGGAGCCTCTCTGGGGGGGTGAGCCTCTCTGGGGGGGGTGAGCCTCTCTCGGGGGGGTGTGAGCCTCTCCGGGGGGGTGTGAGCCTCTCTGGGGGGGGGTGAGCCTCTCTCTGGGGGGGGGTGAGCCTCTCTCGGGGGGGGGGGGTGAGCCTCTCCGGGGGTGCCAGGCCACCAGGGACACGGCGAGGAACCGCAGGGCGGGCTGGCGGGCGACGGAGCGGTCCGAGGCCCGGCCCCAGGCAGGACATGTGGGAGGCAGCCCTGCTGTTTCCCACGTCAGCGTATCCTTGGCGAGGATTAAAACAGAATAAAACCAAGCCATGCCAGCCACCAGCATGTGCGATAAAGAAGCCAGCAAGTTAAGACCGGCTGTGGAGCAATCAGACGCCTCTCACAGCTGACGGAAACAAAGTCTAGCGTCTGTTGGGATGTCACATACAGCTTTACTGAACAACCCAGCAATTCTGTTCCCAATTATATGTCCAAGTGAAACGACAGGGTACCCCACAAAGCGGACGAATGTTCACAGTAGCATTTTCATAATTAACATTGGAGAAAGCCCAAATGCCTATGAAGAGATGACGGCTAGAACACGGTACATAAGCGAGAATAGGAATGAAGTGCTGGTCCATGCTCCATGTGATTCCGTGCACCGACGTGTGCGCGCGGGGAGCCTCCCCTCAGGGGGGCGGGCAGCACGGGATGGCGAGCCAAGGGCAGCGGAGAGGCCAAAGGCGAGCTGCGGACGGAGGCACGACGTGGTGAACGCACGAACAACCGCTCCACTGCCCATTTTAACGTGTGAATTCTCTCAGTAACGCTGATAAAAATAGTAGAGAGTCAAGTTCACACTGGTGCATCTGCCATCACCAGAGAACAGGATCACACCCAGGAAATGGCTGTGGACGGGAGCATCTAAACGCGGGAGAGGGGCTCCTGTCCGTGTCCCGCCGATGCCAAAACCGGTTTGGCTCAGCGGTAGAGCATCGGCCTGCGGACTGAAAGGTCCCGGGTTCGATTCCGGTCAGGGGCATGTAACCTTGGCTGCGGGCACATCCCTGGTAGGGGGTGTGCAGGAGGCAGCTGGTCAATGTTTCTCTCTCATCGACGTTTCTAACCCTCTATCCCTCTCCCTTCCTCTCTGTGAAAAATCAATAAAATACATTTTTTTAAAAAAGAAAGAAATGGGCCCGCCGAGCCCTCCTTGGCCGCCTGGTCCCAGCTGTGACACAAACAGCTGCTGGGGCATCTGGGCACCCGTCCTCCTGCTTCCGGGGAGATGCAGCATGGAGCTGCCGGTCAGGGAAGTGTGCCTGTCCTGTTTATGAAGTGCTTTCCAGAGCAGCCCCGCGTTGGGAGGTCTGTAACGGCGCCCCAGGAGGCGGTGGCCATTCTACAACCCGAGCCTCGGGGAGGCGAGGGCGAGCGGCAGTGCACACACCTCTGCCCAGCGCCTGGGAGGAGTGGTCAGAGGGGAGGGGAGGGAGGGGAGGGGATGGGTGGGGGAGGGGAGGAGGAGAGGAGGGGAGGCACGGAGGAGGGGGGAGGAGGGAGGATTGGCCAGACCCCAGCATCTACCCCTGGTGATCAGTGCATGTCATAGCAAGTGGTTGAGCTGCCTTAGCATATCATTAGCATATTACCCTTTGATTGGTTGAATGGCCACCTGAACACTTAGCATATTAGGCTTTTATTATATTGGATGCTTTTAATGGCTGCACAATATGTAGTAATATCCTGTTTCACTCCTGATAAATCCAATTTGCCTCTTCTTCAGTTTTGCTTAGAGATTTGATTTTATTGATATTTTTTCAAAGAACCAGTTTTTGTTTTATTGATTTTATTTAACTTCCTCTTAAGAAAAAATTTTTAAATTGATTTTAAAGAGAGGAATGGAAAGGGAGAAAACATTGATGAGAAAGAAACATTAATCAGTTGCCTCCAGCATGTCCACTAGTGAGGATGGAGCTTGCGCCCGGATATGTGCCCTGACTGGAACCAGTGACCTTTTGGTGTATGGAACAACACTCAACCGAGACACACCGGCTGGGGCTCAATTTCCTCTTCAATTTCACCGATTTCTGGGGCCTTTCCTGTTTTCTTCCTTCTATTTGCTTGGAGTTTATGTTGCTCTTTGTTGTTTTTGTTGTAGGAACTTTGAGAAGTTTCTTCTTGTCTAATGTAGCATTTAGTCTATAAATTTCCCTGTTGACACTGCTTTAGTTGCCACCCAGATATTTTGGTTACCCTTCATTTTAGTTACACTCACTTTATTTTTTTTAAAAAACGTTGAGACTTCCTCTTTGGCCCATTACTTAGAAGTAATTTAAATGTTTAAATTTCTATGGTTTGGAGGTTTTTGGGTTATCTCTGTTTTTGGTTTCCAATGTGATTCCATTATAGGAAATGAAGATAATCTGTCTAATTTCAATGCCTTTAAATCTGTGGAGATTTCCTGTCTGGTCCAGGACATGTCTGTCTTGACATGCTCAATGTGCGCTTGAGAGAACGTGTCCTCACAAGTGAGTGTGCACATTTCTTAGATGCTGGTATATGGTGCTCAGCTCTACTGGTACATCCGTGCTGACTGTCAAGTGCTCCTGCCCCTGCTGAGACCGAGGCGCTGAAGCTCTCCCGTCACTTCACATCTGCCAGTCTCTCCTCCAGCTCCAGCATTTTGTGTGTGTGTGTGCGTGTTTTTAATAAATCTTTATTGTTCAGATTATTACAAATGTTCCTCTTTCCCTCCCTCCCCAATCGCTCCCCTCCACCAGGTTCCCACCCCACCCTCTGCCCTTTCCCCATCCCCCATTGTCCTCATTCACAGGTGCAGTTTTTGTTCAGGCTCTTCCCGCACCCCACTCCCCTTTTCCCGGAGAACCGTCAGTCCACTCCCCTTCCATACCTCTGATTCTATTATATCCACCAGTTAATATTGCTCATCAGGTTTTTTAATTCCCTTGGCTTTTAGTTTCACTTGTTGATAGTTACGTATTTGTTGATCATAATTTTTATCTTTATCTTCTTCCTCTTCCTAAAGAACCAGTTCGGGCATTTTGCTTAGAGTATTCTGAGGCTCTTGGTTTTTGTGGCCTCTACATTGTTTAATGGCACACAATGCTCTTCTTTGCTTCCAGTAATTTCCTTTCCTCTGGTCTACTTTTATTTGATATTAATATAGCTACTCTTGCTTTTTAAAATTTTCCCACTGTATATTTTTCTATCTGTCAATCTACATATGTCCATGTACGTATTTGAAGTGAGTTTCTTATAGACAGAATATAGGTGGATCTTTTTTCCATCCATTCTATCATATGTGTTTTAATTGGTATATTCAGATTATTCACATTTAAGGTAATTATTGATATGTAAGGTTAAGTCTGCCACGTTATTAGTGGTTTCCTGTGCTGCTTCTATTTTTTTTAATCCTCACCCAAGGGTATTTTTTCCACCATTTTTTTATTTGTTTGTTTTTTTAGAGACAGTGGAGGGGAGGGAGGAAAAAGAGAGCGAGAGAAACATTGATGTGAGAGACACAGCAATTGGTTACTTCCTGCCACAAGCTTGCAACTGAGGTATGTGCCATTGACTGGGAATTGAACCCGTGACCTTTTGGTCCTGGGCTGACACTAACCAGTTAGCCAAAATGGCCAGGGAATTTCTTGGGTTTCTTGATCTTGCTTTTCTTTTCTTCCTGTGAATTACCTGATCAATTTTTAACACTTCATCTTGATTTATTTTGAAGACTATGATTTTAAAACTTTGGCAAAGTAGTTCAAAGGTGATGAATACGGACATGCTCAAATAGAAGATGTACAGTTACGGGGAGTCCCAACAAGCAATCAGAATCTTTTAGTATGGCTTAAAATGTTACTTAGGGAGCCCTTTAAATGTTCACTGCGAGGCTGTGGAATTCTGGCGTGAGGAGAGGTTAGTGATCCACACCCTGCTTCTTCCTTCATAGGCCAGCACTCTCTGCCTTTGGAAACCTTACCTGCTCTTCAAACCTCAGGGAATACTCATGAGGAAGAAAAGCTGGAACATGCTGCCACGTCTGTACTTCCGTTTAGAGTAAGCATGTCAAACTCACGGCCCGCGGGCTGTATGCAGTCCATAACGAATATTTTTGCAGCCCAGCCAATATAACGTGATGTAAGAAACATTTTAATAAAAATTTCATAAATTAATTTTTACAATATCCCGTTGTACATAATTATTAATAACGAACTACAACGTTCACTAATGACTGATTACTATAATCGTGTTGCATTCATTTCCCTTATGTGACTTATGTGCAGGCACACCATTTCTCTCCACTAACACCAACAGCGAATATTTTAGCAGCTGATGGCCACGTCATTAGTCTTGTACTGATTTACTTGGTGTGCACAACAGGAAATATTTCGCTTTTGGAGAATAAGAAAAACAGATTTATTTATGTTACACTAATTAATTATTCAGTGACTAGTAAGTTAATGTTCAAGCAAAAATATTAATTTTTATTAAAATGTTCAGTTATGTTAACAGTGACTCATTTATTTCAGCCCTTTGTCTTCAGCATTTCTCTATAGAAATAAACCTACATTTCTTTGGAAATGGAAGCTTTTGTATTCCTGTGGTCCACATATTGATACATGTGAGCCTTGTTTAGTTGGCCCGTGTTAGCCTGTGAGTTTGACATGCTGCTGTAGAGACTGAACTGCTCGAAGAGAAGAGTCAGTGGAGTCCAGCTCTGCCAGCCTTGAGGCCTCGGAAACCCTCAGGGGGGTGTCCCAGTGGCTACACGAGGCCCCTGGAAACATGGCCAAGCCTCCACTACCTTACACTTCTCTGTGTGAGGACCGCACCTGAGACCACGGACACTACCGTCTACCAGCCCCAGTATTTACTAAGCACTACCAGCATTTTTATCACAGGTTGGTTAATCAAAATGTTCTTACGTTCAGCCGAAACCGGTTTGGCTCAGTGGTAGAGCGTCGGTCTGCGGACTGAAAGGTCCCGGGTTCGATTCCGGTCAAGGGCATGTACATTGGTTGCGGGCACATCTCCAGTAGGGGGTGTGCAAGAGGCAGCTGGTCGATGTTTCTCTCTCATTGACGTTTCTAGCTCTCTATCCCTCTCTTCTCCTCTCGGTAAAAAAATCAATAAAATATATTAAAAAAAAAAAATGTTCTTACGTTCAACAACAAGAGTGAACGCTGCCCACTGCCAGAGTCACACACTAGGTAAAGGCGGTCCTTTGGGAGACACAGCTCCCTGGAGCTTAGGATGCGCGTGCATCTGAGCGTGCGCGGAGCTCAGCTCCCTCCTCAGCTCCGGGCCGGAGCAGCATCTGCCGCCACCCGAGGAGCTGGGAGCACGTGAAATTTACCAAGAACAATGTCATCACTTGTTTATTCGACTGAGTTTCCAATAAAGCAGACACAGCTTTCTCAGGCAAAGTCGTTTTCCAAATTTTATACCCAAATGTACATTTTGTCTAAGTAAAACATTAAAGTTTTCAGATTTTATAACAAAAACTTAAGGTTTTTTTAGAAAGTGAAAACTTGTGAACCTGTCTTTTCCTGTGATTGTAATAGAGGCAAGTCAAAGACCAATTCCATGCATTAACAACGAAGTTTCTGGGGAGCTAACCTTTAACCCGGACGTCACTGTATCGCTGGAAGTGGTGGTAGGCAGCTTTCCAGGGGTTCCGATAGTGACGGAGCAGAGTAATGGGCGGCCTTGGACGCACAGGGACATACCGCACTCCTTCTTCATCTGTTAAAGGGGACAAAAAGAAGATGCTAAGTAGCTTATTACATACTAGAGGCCTGGTGCACAAAACTCATGCACTCGGTGGTGGTGGGGGTCCCCTCAGCCCAGCCTGTGCTCTCTTGCAGTCCGAGAAACCTTGGGGATGTCCACCTGCCGGCGTAGACCACTCCCTGCACTAAGCCAGCCGTCGGACATTTAGGGCTGCCGCGGAGATGGGAGAGGCTCTGTCACCGCAGCTGCGCTCGCCAGCCGTGAGCCTGGCTTCTGGCTGAGCAGCGCCCCCCCTTGGATTGCACTGACCACCAGGGGGCAGACACTCAATACAGGAGCTGGCCCTGGTGGTCAGTGCACCAGAGTGACCGGTCATTCTGCAGTTCGGTCCATTTGCACATTAGCCTTTTATTCAATAGGATTCACTACATCCTCGAGGTAAATCCCAGTGAGTGAGCCGTGGTGGAGTCTGACTATGTAAACAGCTTTGGGAACGCTGCCCCGACACACTGAGTCCCAACGGCCGTTACCAATGTACTCCTTGGGAGGAGACTTGCGCTTCTCCGCCTTCACCAGGAGACTCTTGGCCGTGGACTTCTCGTCGTCCGTGCTGTTGGTCTCCATCATGTCCCCCTCTTCTGTGGAGATCACGTGCTGTTGCTTCCGAGGCTTTTTCCTTGGGGAGGCGCCAGGGGGCAGGTCACTTGTAGGCATGGAGAGGTTGTTAGCCAGCAATGCAAGAGACGGCGACAGGGTGCTGGCAGCCAGCGGAGGAACGGCTGCGGGGGAGAGAGCGCACACGTGTGTGAGAACCCACCGCAGCGGAGCGCGCCACCTGCTGTCCATCAGTGAGCGTCCGCGACGGAGAGCCCTGTGGCTCTCCTTTGTGCAGAGGAGCAGCTCTGGAATCACAAGCACCGGTGTAAACCCCGGAGGGCAGGGCCAACCCTGAGGACCTCACGGGGCCCACACACCACTCTGAGCGTCTGCCTCTGGCTTCTCGTCCAAGGGGAACAAGAAACCACATTTCAAGCCACTTTTTCAAGCTTTTGAGCATGACTTCTTAGAAGTTACCCTGCTTACTCATATATTGTTAAGATAATCTGAATTAGTAGGCATGTTTTATGCCTCCCAATTTAAAGATGAGAGAACAAGGCACAGGCCACGGCAGGATGGCACGGAGCTGGGCTGCTCCCGCTCTGGCCCCCACGGCACCCAGCCTCCTGCCAAGCAGCCTCCCCAGGGAGGGAGCACTGGCCTGGGTGTGTGTGACTCTTACACCTGGGGCTTACAAATCATGACACAAGTTCGCCTCCACCTCACTTCCAACCCTCACATCCCTAAGCCCTGGCCCTCCCGCCTCGGTGCCCAGGCCCAACAGGCCCCTTGAACACTCACCTCTTCCCCTCAATTCTAGCTGCAGTCTCCGCTTTCCAGGTTCCCCCTTCGCGGCCGCTCCCACTGTCCATCCCGCTAGGAGCGACCAGCCACTCATCCCACCTCCTTCTTTCATTGCTGTTGGTTATCCCTCTCCCTTGACTGGTTTTTAATTCTACCACCAATTTTCTCTCTGCATTCTCCTATGTACCTCCCCTGGCTCCTGTGCACACTGTCTCTGGCAGTCCGCACCGTGCCCATGCTCGCCGTCTCCAGCTCGCTCGCTCGCTCGCTGGCCTCCGCCTTTCCTGCTGCGGGCGACCCCAGAGCATCTGCTAAACGCACTCTCTCCACCTGGCCACTTCACCCTCCCTCTCACTCCCAGCACCTCTTCTCCAGCCCTGCTCTTAGCTCATCACCTTGCTTTCAATTTTACAGCGAGTGAGTGAGTGAACACAATAAAAGGAACCCCATCACGTACGCCCGCTTCCTTGCCCGGGAACCACACGGCCCGCCCTCACACGGCCCGGACCTCCCCTCCCAGCACCTCCGGTTCTGTCCAGGTGGGAGCTCCCACAGGGCTAACAATCCTCTGGGCACCCCGCCCTTCCTTTCCCATCCCTTCTGCACAACCTCAGGGCCTGCTCACGGCCCCACGCTCCTCTCCAGCTTGCCAATCACCCTTGACTAATGGCATCATGGACACAGCTCTTCTCAGGATCGCCATGCCCCAGCTGCTAAAGCCAATGGTCGCGGTTCAGTCCTCATGTTTTTGAAAGTTTTATGTTTCATTAAGATTTTTTCCAGTTCGTTTATTTTCATAATTACTTTGTATTAGTTTCAGGTGGCAGCACAGAGGTCAGACAGTCAGACACTCGACCAAGTGAACTGGTGTTCCTGCCAGTGCTACCCACACTGCTCCTCGCTGGGCTGGCGTCCCGGACGGTTCTGTAACTGCCCACCCTGCTTCTCAGCCCTGCCTTCCTCACCGCCCCTCCAGACCCCTTCCCCTGGCAACCATCGGCTGTTCTCTGCACCCAGGCCTGTTTGTTTTGTTCGTTATTTTGTTCTTTAGTTTCCACATATAAGAGAAATCACATGGCATTGGTCTATCTCAGACTGACTGGTTATATTAGCATAATACCCTCTAGGTCCATTCACGAGTCTTAAGCTAACTGAGCTTTCAGCAGCGATGACCCCGTCCCTGAGGCATTTCTGCCTGCTCCCAGGACAGCACACCCGCCGGGCACTCCCGGCCCCCTGCACAAGGCGCAGTGGCTCGCGAAGCTCAGCACAGGCCCGTGTGATCTGCGCTTTCCTCCCGGGATCGCAGCAGACTCACGGCCTTCCACACAATGACAGCTACTCTCCGTGCTGCCGCCCACTTCCGACCAAAACCAGGCTCCCCCGGCACACCCAGTCCCTCTCACAGAACGTGGTCCTCCTGCCACTGCCCTCTCCCGGCTGTCCGCAGCTCTGCTTTAGAAGTGCCCCCGACCCGCGCATCTCCAGCACTCCTGTTGCTACTGCCCTGGCGGAGGCTTCACTGCCCTCTGCAGTTCATGCAATAACCTCTCCAGAGCTCCCACAGCAGCCGCGTGGCCTGCAGAAACGCAGGGACTGCAGGCCTCTTCTGCGCTGACCCTCTAGCACAGCGGTCAACCTTCCGAATGCTGCGACCGCCAGGCTGAGAACCGTGGCTGTAGAGCCTAAGACCATCGGAAAACCCAGATATTCACATTAGGATTCATAACAGCAGCAAAGTTACAGTTATGAAGCAGCAACAAAAACGAAAACGACGTCATGGTTGGGGGTCACCACATGAGGAACCGCATTAAAGGGCCACGGCATCAGGAAGGTTGAGAGCCACGGCGTCCAGCAGCTCTCCACGTGCCCACAGCGGGCCACGCTCAGTCTCCACCCTGCTCCTCTGCCCACACCTGGGCACGTGGCTCCCCCGTGTGCTCTGCTCCTGCTGCAGGTCCCCACCCGAGGTCCTTCCTCAGGAGGCCTTGCTTTAGCTCCAGCCCTACCTTTCCCTTGTATTTTGTCCCTGCCTTTTTTTTTTTTTAACTGTTTTTCACATTTGGTAGATGACAAGAGTTGTGCTTTTTCCACTGGGACTTTGTCTGTTTTTATAATTAAAAAAAATATATATATATATTTTATTGATTTTTTACAGAGAGAAAGAGAGAGGGATAGAGGTAGAAACATTGGTGAGAGAAGAATCATCAATCAGCTGCCTCTTCAATATCCCCCACTGGGGATGTGCCCGCATCCAAGGCACATGCCCCTGACCGGAATTGAACCCAGAACCCTTCAATCCGTAGGCCGACGCTCTATCCACCGAGCCAAACTGGTTTTGGTTGTTTTTATAAATTTCTTTCTTTTTAAAAAAAAATATATTTTATTGATTCTTTACAGAGGAAGAGAGAGGGTTAGAGCGTTAGAAACATCGATGAGAGAGAAACATCGGCCAGCCGCCTCCTGCAACACCCCCTACTGGGGATGTGCCCGCAACCAAGGCACATGCCCCCGATCGGAATCGAACCTAGGACCTTGCAGTCCGCAGGCTGATGCTCTCTATCCACTGAGCCAAACTGGTTTTGGCTGTTTTTATAAATTTCTTATCACTGAAAGTTACTTTTGTAGTTATGAAAAACAGGATCCATAAAAAATTATTGAAAAACAAAATCAAACAGAAAGAAAACTTCCAGTCATCTGCCCTTACAGAGAGTTTACAGTTGAGAAGAGGAAAAAGGAATAATTAATAGTTTGAAGATTTTACTAAACATATATTAAGTTTATCAAGAGCGTATTTTCAACAACATAAATCTTATTTTATTGTGTAACAAAAATAGGCAGGAGATAAATTGTAAATAGCAGGACTTAGCAATGATTGAGCCTCTTACATGGCGAGGTTTTCTTCTTTGGGGCAGTATTTTATTAAAGAATACAAAAAGCTATCGTAATTAATCTTTTTCATAGTTTTGGTTAAGAAATAAAATTAATTATAAAATTAGCAAAATGGAGCTTCCATTTATTAAAAAGTAATAAAGTGCAAATTTAAGATGAGAATGGAGGGGCCAGCATTCCTGGCGAAGAGGAATACCAGCTGGGACTCTGAGGAGTGAGGAAAAGGGGAGGAGCAGCTGCCCACACCGAATCCTTGGAATGAACTCACCAGAAACTGGCCTCATGATGTCCATTGGTTCCACTTCTTCTTTCACTTTTATCTCAGGCACAGGAGGGCCCAAGAGCGAGGGATTGCCACCGGCGGCTGCGCCGGGCAGGGGCGCGGCTGCGCTGGCGGTGCTGGGCGGAGTGACGGGCACGGCCCCGGGAAGGGTGGAGAGCGCAGCCGCCGGCTGTGACGGGGGGCTGGCCGCAGCCACGGCTGGAATGGCTGGCGGAGGCTGCTGCGCGGTGGGAGGGACTGCAATGGTGGGCTGGTCATTATTCTGATTGGACACAGTTTCCATGGACACGGTGGCTGGAGTGGCCATTGATACGTGGGTTTCTGACTTAGGTTTGGCACTGAAACACAAAAGCAGAGATAATGTAGCAAACAACAGAAAACTTCCTTAACCTGCAACGTCTTAGAGGATGGACACTGATCGAATTCTTTCTATAATATAAGACACAGCAAAACTAAAATATTTCTTGATTCTAAAAGTTGAATTCTAAAGTTTAAAAGGGAATTGCGGTTTTAAAAATACCTCTGCTTGTGTCACCCAACATGTTTTTTAATTTTATTAAATTTAATTTTATTTGATTTTATTTAAGCAGCAGTAAAATTAATTTAGAAAACCAAGTCAATTATAAAGAAATCAAAGTCATCAAGAACGACCAATTTTCATTATGTTGTGCCTTTTCCTCCCAAAATTCCTTAATGCATATGCATTTTAGGTCTTTCGATTGATTACAACTGTATTCATACTTCATATGTAGCTTCTCTTATAAAAGAGGAAACTCATGCACATCGCAAAGATAGAAAATAGTACAAATTAAAAGTAATTTCCCTCCACTTCACATACAGACCTCTACCCAGAGGCACCAGAACAGTGGAACCTCAGTTCTCGAACTTAATTTGCTACAGAAGGATGTTGGAGAACCAATTTGTTTGAAAAAACGATTTCTTTTCCCCCCACTTAGAAATAATGTAAATAGAATTAATGCGTTCCAGACCCCCAAATGATGTTTTAACTTTTCTTATGTACTGTACATGTCCAATATACTGTTTCATCTACAAGCAAACACTTCTTTTCTGAAATTTACCAACCCCCTACCAGCCTTAAACAACATGTCTTGCGTCGCTGCCTCGGAAATGCTGTCACCGCTGACTGCTCTCCTCGGAGCCACCCGCGCGGCTGCGCCCTCGGTGCTGCTGCGGTCTGTGAGCACTCCGCTGGAGCCACGAGGCACTCCGGGCGGCCTCGCTATGCTTTAGAGCTGTGCTGACCATACATTTACCCGCAACAGAAGTGTTCTCTCCCCTGCCTCCCGCTGTCACCTGAGCTATCAGCAAAAGGGCTGTCAGGCCCAGAACCGAAGTTCTGGTAAACAACCAAAACATTTTTTCTGGGCACAACATGATGGAGAACCGAATTGTTCAAGGTGGGAAACATTCGAGAAATGAGGCCTGACTGTATATTTTACCAGAGATACTTCAGACATCTAAAGTAGCTACAAATACAGTGTTTAAAAATGTACATCCTATTTTTTCAGGTTTTTAAAAAATATTTTTACTGATTTCAGAGAGAAAGGGAGAGGAAAAGACAAAGAGAAACATCACTGTTAGAGGGAAACATTGATTGGCTGCCTCCTTCATGAAATCTACTGCGGATTTGAGCCTACAACCTGGGTCTGTGTCCTGACCCAGAACCGAACCAGGGACCTTTCAGTGTGCGCGCCGCCGCCCAGCCCACTGACTAGAGCTGAACCAGCACCTCCCAGTGCATGGGTGCTGCCCCGCCCACTGCACCTCACCAGCCAGAGCCTGATTTCTCAGGTTTATAAGAACAACTCATACATGTCATTACAACTGCTTAAACATTATTTTTAAGTGGAACAATTCATTTAATAGCTGCAAAGATTTATCTACTTGCATTACTACTAGAGGCCCGGTGCATGGATTCGTGCACTGGTGGGGTCCCTCAGCCTGGCCTGCACCCTCTTTCCAATCTGGGACTCCTTGGGGGATTGATCGATTGCCGTTTGCCTGATCCCTGCAGGCCAGCCTGCAGTCTGACATCACCGGAGGGATGTAGTAGTGCGTGAAGCAGCAGTGGCTGGGGAGGAGCCCTGAGCCCAGGCTGGGCGCCACACTGCTCCTGCTCATTCCCCCCACACTGCCCCCACCACTCAGCAGTGCTGCCTCAGAGGCAGGAGAGGCTTGCCCCACCGCAGCTGCGCTCGCCTGTCCTGAGCCTGGCATCTGGCGCCCATCAGCCAGCTGAGTGGAGCTCCCGCTGTGGAAGCGCATTGACCACCGGGTGTGCGGCAGTGCAGCTCCTGCATTGAGCGTCTGCCCCCTGGTGGTCGGTATGTGTCAAACAGTCGTTCAGTTGCTTAAGCTTTTATATATATAGAAAATTGCTGAAAATTCAGGATATAAAAAACAACACAAAACGATACCTCTTAAGTTTAAACCAAAACTAAATGGACATTTATAGGCAAAAAATTCAACGTCAGCCTATAAACCTCAGACCATATACAAAATTAGACTCAACCTGGTCTAAGCCTCAATGCAAAATGTATATAAGAAAATACAAAAGAAAACCTAGATGGAGGTGAAGTTCTTAGACGTGACACCAAAAGCACAACCCATGAAAGAAAAACCTGATACACGGAGCTCCGCTACAATGGGAAATGTTTCTTGTGCCTATGGACGTACTTCTGTGCTAAATTTCCATTGTCCTGGCTAAGTCTGTGATTAGCACAATAAGTGGAAACATTTCGAGAGGCTGAAAAACCAAGTGGAGATTGAAAAATATATGGGACCACATGAGACAGGATGCACTTGGTGGACATTATGTTAGTGAAATCAGCCCATCACAGAAAGATAAATATTCTATGATTTCACTTGTATGAGGAACCAACAGTAGTCAAATTTATTGAAAAAGAAAGCAGAATGGTGATTTCCAGGGGTGGAAGGAAGGAGAATGAGGACTTGTTGAGTTATTGGCATAAAGATTCCTATTCAAATGGCAAACGGCCCAGGAAAGACGCTCCACACCGCCAGGTAAGAGATACGTGTGAAGCAGAGCTGGATGCAGCACCACACCCATGAGGACGATGAAAGTAAAATTTACAAACCTTATAATACCAAGTGCATGAAAGGGTGTGAAGCAACTACAGTTACAAAAGGGGATCCTAGCACAAAAGACGGAAATGTATTTATTTATCCATCCATCTTCACTCAAGATATTTTTTCTTTTTTTTCCCCCCAGAGAGTGGAAGGGAGGGAGAAAAGGGGGAGAGAAACATAGATGTGAGACACACACATTGATTGGTTACTTCCCACAGGCACTCAGATCAGAGCCAGGGATGGACCCTGTAATCCAGGTACATGCCTTGACTGGAAATGGAACCCTCAACCCAGAGCACGGGCTAATGCTCTAACCATTGGGACATCAACCAGGGCCAAACAAATGAATTTATTTGGCAAGGTCGTAGGATAAAATAATCTCATTTGTTGCAGGTAAAAATTTAAAACGGTACAGCAGCTCTGGAAAAACAGTTGGGAAGTTTCTATAAAATTAAAAAATATTCAACTCAGCTAGTGCGCTCTTTGGATTTATCCTAGAGAAAGGGAAACGTGTTTCTACCAAGAAAACTATACAGGAATTTCCACAGCAGCTTTATTTTTTAATAGTTCCAAACTAGCAACAACCCCAATGTATTTCAATAAACAAATAGACAAATTCCGTACATTCCTATGATAAAATATTACCCACTCAAAAAAGAACTATTGATACAGCTGCAACTTGAATGGATCTCAAAAGAAAATGTTGAGTGGATATAAGCCAGTATCGTTAGATTATTGTATGCAATATATATAATTTATGTAATACACATGTAATAATTATGATTCCGTTTACATAAAACTTCCTTTTAAAATATATATATTTTTATTGATTTCAGAGAGGAAGGGAGAGGAAGAGATAGAAACATCAATGATGAGTGAGAATCATTGATCAGCTGCCTCCTGCAGGGCCCCCACTGGGAACTGAGTTCACAACCTGGGCATGTGCCCTGACTGGAAATCAAACAGTGACCTCCTGGTTCATTGGTCCATGCTCAACCCCTGAGCGACTGGGCTAAATGATCAATTTTAAATAACTTCAAAGAACTACAGACCATGGCCAAAGAACTTCATTAAAAAAAAAAAAGAAGATAATGGAAATGATGTCTCAGCAAATTGAGAATGTCAATACAGAGAAATTATAAAATAGGTAAAATTGAAAAAATATAAAAGCTGAAAGGAAAAAAGTCAATTGAAGGTTCAAAAGCATAGTTTAACAGGCATAAGGATAGACCCGCATACATGAAGACGGGTCAACTGAGATGCCCCAGCCTGAGAACCGGAAAACAAAATGGGAGGGGCTTTGGGCAGCACCCTGCGCCCGGGGAGGAAGGAGAGGAAGGGCCAGAGGACATCTAATAACGGCCAACAACGCCCCACGTGACGAAACCATTCGTCTATACACACATAACTTCACCAATGTCTAAGTAGAATACATGAAAAGAAACCCACATCTAGATATATCATAATTGTCAAAATTCACAAGAAATATTTAAAAGTGGAATTCTGTAACTTAACTGCACCAAAAAAGACAAAATATGGTAAATTGTCAAAAGTTAAACCCAGTTGAATATTTTCTCTACATTTATAGATTTTCATATTGACAACTTGAAAAAAGAGTGCTGTAAAAGAAGTTGAAGGCATCTAAAAAGAAGATTTTCAATTTAAAATTCGCCTCGCCATTCTATCCCCCGAGCACGGGCAGGATGAGGGCTGCAGGCACCGCACACACACCCTGCCTGCGGGCTCGGGAGCGGCCGGCAGGACGCCCTAGGGCACTGACAAAGGGCGTCCCAACCAAAGTCTGCTCTCTGCAGCCGAGAGGGCGGCTTAGCACGAGGGCTTCGGAGCGACACTCGGCCCAGCGGCGGCGCCCACCCGCGGCCTCGCTCCTGCTATCCGGTGCTGGGGAGAGCCAAGCGGGGAGCTGGGACCCCACGCCGCAATGCGCCCCCCCAGCTGCTTAAACAAACTGTCACCTAAGCGTGGGTCTCAGGATGCCTCCGCCGCCCGGGGACACAGACACCACTGTCCACTCCATCGGGAAAGCACGACAGGTGACAGAGCCGCCAGTTGGCTGGACCCTAATGCAGACACCAACACACCGAAACAGAAACATATCAGTAAGGACATCAAAGTTAATAAGCTCCCTGGAGAGTCCCAGTAGTAGAGATGAGAGGCCACGACCAGGCCTTTGAAGACAGAGCAGTATTAGTTACCAATCTCAACA